AAGCCTTTCATGTTAATATTTAATTGAGTCTTTCCTTACAACTTGTTTACCTCAATTACTTTGGCACAATAGCTTTATTGATTTCAATTACCTCTAGACGAAGATGAAGAGATCAGTGGCTTTCAGATAAGCTGCTTGCCATAAATAGGAAATTCCTCATTAATTAATCTCGGGACTTGTACTTTGATCTCAGTATTTCCATTGGTTTAAGTCCGATCAAGTAAGCCATATTAGTTCCAGAGTGAAATTTAAATTCTTTCAAGAATAATTCCAAATACATAGTTTACTCAGAATAACCAAGGCAAACAGTTTACGCGAAGACAATGACAATCCCTCAGTAAGATCGATCGTTGTGAGTAAGTATGGATGATCTATTGGCCCATGGGACTGTAACAAATTACTATTTGATGAAAGGTAAACATCACTGATGAGATCAGCGCTTGTTTGAGAAGGTACTCTAGTGCATTGGAAGTCGCGTTTTACCACCTCAGCCAATATTTCGAGTCCCATAAATTCAAATAAAAATTGGGAAGCTGCTCTAATTAAAAGGCAAAATGAGCTTTCATTCTGCCTTATGGCAATAATTGCAGTGATTTACCAACCTCTCAAACCCCGTACAGGAATTAAAGTTAGAGGAAAAACGTTTCCTCAAGTCCATAAGTCAAGAAGTTCTCACTCTACATCATTCTTTCTCACTTCAACTGTCAATCCTCAAGAAAGAGTGAGTGTGCCCCAACAATTATCAATCTTGTGAATTCTGATTAGTTTTTCTGCTTGTCTCTGACTAATGATTTGCGAATGTATAGAATGCTTCAATGACTCCCATAATTAAATTGATGATCATTAACCCGGAATCTTGCTACACATCCAATTAAAGAAAGGGTTTTAACTATGCTAAGTGTAATTGGCCAGTGTCTATAGACTATTCCATAATCACAAAAAGGGGTGTGTGATATACTTACCTCTACGTGGTGCACCCTGGGCAACGTATACACGTGGTGCACCCTGGGCAACGTATCCACATATGGCAAAAGGTACCTCCACGTGGTGCACCCTGGCCAACGTATAATCATACGGTCTTACCTCCACGTGGCGCACCCTGGGCAATGTATACTACACCTTACCTCCACGTGGTGCACCCTGGGCAACGTATTCTCATTCGGCTACCTCCACGTGGTGCACCCTGGGCAATGTATACTCATACACCTCCACGTGGTGCACCCTGGGCAACGTATACTCACGATAGACTTACCTCCAGGTGGTGCACCCTGGACAACGTATACTCAAACGGCACGTGGTGCACCCTGGGCAACGTATACTCATACGGCTCCACGTGGTGCACCCTGGGCAACGTTTACTCATACGGCTCCACGTGGTGCACCCTGGGCAACGTATACTCATAAGGCACCACGTGGTGCACCCTGGGCAACGTGTACTCATACGGCAAGTAAGTCTATCACGTGGTGCACCCTGGGCAACGTATACTCATACGGCAAACAAACGTGGTGCACCCTGGGCAACGCATACTCATACGGCAAAATGTGGTGCACCCTGGGCAACGTATACTCATACGGCAAAAAGTCTATTAACTGGCAGTTGACTTCTGACTTCAAACTACCATGACCCCACAGTACTCAACTCCCCTTTCCTCTACCTTTGTCTGTCTCTTTCACATCTGTGAATCATTATTCTGCCCCTCCCCCTCTCGACTTTTTGTCACCTTGATGTTCCTCCTCCTCTCTGTGAAGCCCGAAGTCAACTAAAGGGCTAATTATATCTATCAATAACGCAAAAGGAGGCTTTTGCATCAATTCAAAGATAGATTTTAATTATATCGTTGATGGTATCAAAATAATCCAGATTCCACCGCCTGCTACTGGGGCGGGGGGAGGGGGCAGATAAGATTCATTCCTACCGCCTCTTAACCATCAGAAGAAAATCGTTAAGATAGGGACTGTTAATAAATAATCACATTTGTACCAGATGGTGTCCAGATGACAAGCTAGTAAGAGAGGTGGGAAGAAAAGTGCCTTAGATGCGATCACTTGCAACCCATTATATCAAACTGTCTCATCTCTGGTCCACTGTTTGGGGAATAAAGTATTGATTAAAGATTTATTTATATCAAATGGAAGGGGTTTTGATAGTTACCATTAGCCAAAAAGGGGAACAAAAGACTGATTCGTTGATGTAAAAGAGACAGTCACAAAGGCAGAGAAAAGGTAAGATGAGTACTGTAAAAGTGGTTTAATATGATATACAGTGGGATCATGGTTGTTTGTGGTCAGAAGTCAACTGTTTTTGCTGTTTGAGTATATGCTACCCAGGGTGCACCGCGTGGAGATAAATCTTTCGCACACTCCATTAAATAAAGATGAAAGTGAAAATAACAAAAGATTATTTAACTAATCCGAACAAAATAGCCAAAATGGATGATGGTAGTGTGGTTGGAAGATGACAGAGCGAAATTCTAAGCTTTTGTGTTAACGCGTTTCCTTGGTTTACAGTCTTCGCAGGTTGTCTAAGGCGTTCAGACTACTTACCCATAGGTGGCCCATATCATTCCTGACAGCTGGACAGCTAATCAGATTGAGCGTTTACCGTTTCGGTAGAAATAACGTGAATTCGAATTGTGTTCACCCATGATTAGTCCTTCTTTAGCTACTGAACTACCTATAGGAGTGACATAGTTGTGTGATTTACTACTCCCAATGCCCGGTATAAGTCTACCGTAGTCTTGCAATATTTAGTGGGCAGAAAGGTCATAACAGCAGAAGCTAAACATCCTATCATCATAACAAAATGGTAGGGCTTTTCTATGAAAAAAAAAACATTCAGACTGGCTGATTTTTCACCTTGGAATGTATCAACGCCTATCTTGTCAATTGAAAGCTTTTTTTCCAGTTTAATAGGCCCATGAATGACTTTTTTCAATCTGGACAAGTGCCATAAAAGCATTCACTTTAAAGGATTTGGAAGATGAAACTAGGTGCTAAATGGGCGCTTAAAAACCCAAGAGTACTTCAATGCCTTAAAAAGAGTTTAAAATGTCCACTTAATTGGAGAAAGATTTATCTCAAAATGTGGTGAGTAGGCGTATTAATTTTATTCCAATCTTGATACTAACCTCGCAATTTATTTGTTTCTGTTTAGAAACTTTCCAGGTACTTTGAATATTTTATTATTATTTACAGACAGTTTCGTTTGTGAACAACAATCTCCCAGTAAAGAAGGTGAAACGAGAAGCACATAGAAAATATCAACATCATTTCAACTGTTGACTTGAAAACGAAGTTTATGAAGAGGCACGTTGACAAACACATTTCGACCTGTCTGTAGATCATTTAAAGCCATTTTTATTCACAGGTTCTTGTGACAGACATACTCAAATGTAAACATTGTGTGAGATTTTTTAAGCAACAAAATGCAGGTAAGCATTCGAAGTGTTATGTTCTGGTTAATTTCCATAAAAACTTCGTTTGCTTATTTATTGCAGAACTTTTCAATTTACATTACCTCCTTCTTCACTTAGTTGTGTAACTAACAGTCGTTTCCGGTACTATTGACAAAAATTGCTGGTAGGATGCGTGTGTGGGTGCTCCTGTAATATGGTATTTTCTATTACATAAATGGACCTTTGGAAAGTCCTATTTTTCTGATGATCGGGAATCGAAACCTGTCAATAAGCAAGCAGAGTTCAAAACAAATATTGACTTTCAATATACATTCCAAAGGGTGAGCGATTGACCTACCTCCACGTTGTGCACCCTGGACAACGTATACTCATACGACAAAAATGTCTATAAACCTGCAGTTGAACCCTGACTTTAAAAATGTCATGGCCCCACAGTATGCCATATTCCACCACTTTCACAGCACTCATCTTACTTTGTCTCTGCCTTTGTGCCTGTCTGTCTCTCTTACGTCTGTGAATCCCACTTTCGTTCCCCCCCCCCTCGATTTGTTGTGACTTTGATGCTCCTCCCAAGCTACACAGGCGGGGTGTATCAAAGCATGGGAAAGAGGCTGAATAATTAATCTCTTCTAAATGCGACCTTTGAGCTAGCATGGTTAAAACCTTTTTATTTTTCCTGAAATTTTCTGCTTTTCTAAAACCACTAACCACATTAAGCTGAAAGCTGCAGATTTGGCTTCACTAGAGCACTACATTTTGCATATGTCATTCATCTTAAGTAAAATATAGTTTCTTGTTAAAAGAAATGTCTAAACAAGGTCACTTACAAAGTAAACACCTCACCCGCCTACTTATTTAAAATTTTGTCAAACAGACCAGCTGGAGATGCGAAGTCTGAAATCAAACACCACGCAATTAGGCGAATGACGTCATCAGTGCGGAACCAATGGGAAGGTCGCGTGGGTAGGCAGTCGTCATTCATTCTTTACTCTTAGCCATTTTTCCAGCCAATTCGTTAAGTGCAAATTGATACAAATCCTGCTACCTCAATTTGCTGGATACTGAATGGAAGCTGGAGCAAGGTAATAAGTAAATCCGGAGTATTTTTGGCGTACTAAATAGATGACGCATAATCTGCTGAATGAGTTAAACAATGATCTAAAAATAGCTATTCCAAGAACAGTCAATTGACGGAATTGTTATTCAAAATGTTAAAGTGGGTTTTGATTCCTGTAGTTTACTATTAATTCCCCAATGCTAACTCTATTTTCTGTTTTTGTCGAAACCCCGAATCAATTCTTATACATGTGTTTCAGCTAAAATAACGACAACCACATTCAAAATAGCCTTGCCAAGTGGGCAACTCTGCGAGAAGTCCGAACCATGTACGCTTTGGCAAGCAGCACAAATGGGCACTAAAGGTCGTGAGCTGATTGGTTGCTTCCATGCGTGTCTATGTTTAGCACGCGAACAATTTGCTGTAATCTTATTGGCTGCAAGTTAACTAACCAATTAGAAAGTAATAATAAAGTCTATAAAACCAGTATCTTTACTCCCTGTAGCGTGATCTCTGTTTCTCCTCAAGATGTACCTGCGGTCCTGTTCAAAAATAGCTGAGGCTGATTGTGACGTTGTTGTATTCGTCAATGATGGAATTCGTTCCCTTGGAGAACTTTTCAATGCAATTGAGAAGACACTCACTGAATTTGAAGAAGTAAATCCTACAGTTTCAGAATCCTGTGAGGTGCTTGCCTTTTCCGGCCACAAATGCAAGAGATTGGTGAGTTGTTGCTGTGTTATCGTGCTCTGTTTGTTCAAGCTGAATGTTCGAAAGGGTTTAGAAATGGTCTAATCTGCTTCCTACCAAACAAATCAGAGATAGCAGAAGTCAACCACGATATGTAGTTATGATAAATAAGATTTTTCAGAATTGATCTTTCCTATCTTTCCATACCAATTGATAAAACATTCTTTTTTGGATACATGAAATTTTTTAAAACGATATATTGGTTATGATCACCAGTTGGTCAACTGCGCAATCATCGTTACCCCGAATTCTGTATGACTAATTTTCGGACATGTTTTGCACGCCACTAGCAATGATTCCCACACTGTGTGGGTGACTGACTCTAAGACTTTTTTTTGCCTATTTTACTTAATTAAACGTAAAAATAATGCCCACTAAGGTTGTGAATTCCACCAATTTCCAGAAATGGGTTTTCTTTTTTATTCTTCTTGGCGATCCAAACACAAAAGAGGTGAAGGCAACCTTTTAAGAACAAGTACAAACTGCTTTGCAAGTTGAAATTTCATTGGGTATACATTTTTTTTAAATTTTTCTCTTTATACCTAAAATTTTTGAGTAAAGCCTCCACGTAGCCCAGCAGTTGGGAGATTTCCGTTGGTAGTATAAGTGTATAGTTATGGCTTGGGTTGGAGGTTTTTAACTAATTAAACCGAATTCTATAATGAAGTGGACTAATTCCCATATATTTAGTTTTGCGAGATCATGGCTAATTTTAGTCACAAATTTAGTGATTTTTGAATTGTATAATGGGGCGTATTAGTTAAGTCGAGATGGTAGAAAGTGCGCTTCTCATTGGAGTCCTTCAAACTGCATTTTGTCTAACCTTGGTTTTATTTTACACAGTTGAAAAGAATATGCTCATTTATGAAAGGATACACTACTTAGCTTCGACTCAATAGCCTGTATATTGTGTCGAGTCAAGTCAAATATTATTGTCCTTGTTTTTTTTTAGATTTACTCCCCGACTGGCAAACTGAATACAGATATAGCTGATAGCCGTAACATCTACGATGCTGCTTACAACGGTCTTGTCAAGTAAGACAAAGTTGTAGTTCTTGAAGTTTATCAATATATTTCTTTAGGGCGCACAAACTCGGTTGCCGAAAGCCCCTTCTTGTGCTAGGACCATTATCAACAGGGCCTCTGGATGAGTCTTGGATGCAGAATGATTATCCGGTCCTTAATGCCATTCTTGGAGCTCTCTATGCCCTATACACAGTAAGATCACTTCCTTATAGTTTGTTGTGCTTTGGATTGCTCTTCTCCTAATGCATGTTCTTCAATTTTAATAGCCCCTTGAAATTCGTGAGGCCCTTCCAAAGAGGGCTTCAAAGTTTGACACCCTCCAAGTGCTCGGTGCTTCACAGAAGGTCCTGTGCATTGCCTATGCAGTGGAAGAAGGTCGAAGAGTGACCCGTGATATCGCTGGGTCTGACCCCGAAAGGATGGCCCCCATCAAAATCGTCGAATACCTTAAAGCAGAGTTTGCCAATACCCCTGAAATAGAGATGGTTGTTAAAAAGGTCGACGGAAAGGAATATCCCTTAATGGCTGCTGTTAATCGCGCTGCCTCTAGCGTTCCTAGACACGACGGTCGAGTTGTGCACCTAAAGTACTCCGACAAGTCTAACGTTGACACTACCCTCTTCTTAGTTGGAAAAGGTATCACATACGATACCGGTGGTGCTGACGTTAAAGCCGGTGGTAATATGGCTGGAATGCATCGTGATAAGGGTGGCGCAGCATCTGTCGCTGGCTTCTTAAAGACCTTGAGTTTGCTTAAACCTAAGGGATTGTGTGTGCAGGGTCTGTTGGCCCTTGTACGCAACAGCATCGGAAGTGACAGCTACGTGGCTGATGAAATCATCACTTCGCGTGCTGGTCGTCGTATTAGAGTTGGGAACACAGATGCCGAGGGACGTATGGTCATGACTGACCTTCTATGTGAAGCGAAAGAGCTGGCCCTAAATTCTGTCAACCCGTTCCTTTTCACAATTGCCACTCTCACCGGTCATGTAGTTAGAGCGTATAAAGTCTACACAGCTATTGTGGACAATGGACCAGCTCGCAAAAAGCACGTAGGAACTGAACTGCAAAAGGCTGGTGATAAGGTCTCGGATCCAGCTGAAGTAAGTGTTTGCTATTTAAATATGCTGTATTTATGCAGTTATTATTTCGAGTGCTAATTCTGCTACATGTTTTACTTGAAGATTTCAACTTTACGTCGGGAGGACTATGAGATGGTAAAGGGGGGGACGGAGTACGAAGATATCCTTCAGTGTAACAATCTTCCGAGCAGTGAAACACCTCGTGGGCATCAGTTCCCCGCCGCATTTATGATGGCTGCCAGCGGCCTAGATGAAGTAAGCTTCTGTCTCCAACCGATGTTCTTGATTTTCCCCCTTCTCTTTTATTCTTCCCTCTTTCCTTCTATTTTAGCACGGATTGGATTCAGGGAAGAAGCAAATACCCTATACGCACTTGGATGTTGCTGGAAGTTCAGGGAGCATTGGTAAAATGCCCACTGCAGCACCTTTGTCAATGTTGGTCTCTCAATATGTTCTCCCGCGTTTGTAAAATCCAACTCTGCCCTGAAAATTTGTCATTCTCGTTGTTATTAAAAATCCTTTTTTGTTGTTAAATTAGCTTCCCATTCTTATGCGATACTGTGGCCGGGGGAGGGGAGGTAGGGGGAATTTCGAGGTTGTTTGGATCAATAATTCCACATCTAATTCCTTCGAAACGCCAATTTTTCTCTCCTCTTAACATTACCACGAAATAGTTTCTAAGATGAGGAAGAGATGTTGTAGGGATTTCTGAAGACAAGTGGGGGGGAGGGGGGGGGGTTGGGTGAACTTTCAGCATTTCAGCGCAAACTTTTCCCTAAAGGAGGAGTAAAAAAGAAATCGAATAATACCGCCTCAAGAGTACTTTGCGGTTGATGTATATAATTCGATGAAGCCTACATCGGCAAAATTCATCTGCAAATTTAACAAGATAAACTTCAGGCTAATATTTTTAAATTGTATCTCACAAATTTTTCCAAACCAGCTTTAAGGAAACGGATGCTTGAAATTTAGAGCGCTTGTGCTATGAAGTATTACCAATACAGTAAGTAGTTAATGTTACTACTTATCGATAAAAAACCAGAGGGTTTTACTCATGGACTAAGAAGTGGGTAAAGTAAATTGAGTAATTTAGGGAGCGGTGGGGTGGGGTGGCCGGGGGGG